CATTTGAAATAAGGGACAGTGTCATCCGCTGCGGCTTGTGGTGCTCTTACGAACAAAAAAAAAATATTAATATATTGAACGAACCAAGACCGAGAGATTTGGGATGCCAAATGAGTCATCTTTGACCCTTGTTTGGCTCATATCTCCCTGAAACCTGAAGATTTCTGACTGAAAACTTTATGGTAGTCTTCCCTTTCTAGCGCCAACATATCCTGAAAGTTTCATGCAATTTGGATGTTCCTGGGCTGAAATCGATTTTTGAGGGGGGGGGGCCTTAATAGAATATCATGTCATTCTAATGAGGAAGCGTTTTCAATTGGTCAATCGCTTTTTCATCGAAAACTAGTGGATTACAGCTTATCGACCATGCTAATCTCTAGTATAGCTACAAGAAATCTCTTTAGGCCTTTATATCGTAGTTTTCTAGAAGATCAGTTTTTCAAGATAACAAAGATTCGTCAAAATTTCTTTTTGATCTGTTCAAATTTATAGAGCATATTAAACACATGCATAACAACGTTTCACTGTAAAAATATTCAAGATGATATTATTTTATTTAATATTCATACTTGGAAAACAGAAAAGACTATTGACTTAGGGACAACTCGATATGCTTTAAATCTAAGTAGATAATAAATAATTTTGTTGGCCTGGAAAACCGATTTTCTAACAAAACCGGCATAAAAAGACTTAAGGAAACCTCTTATGATTGTATCCGAAATTATCACGGTTGATAACTTCAGGACATACGCTTAGATTGTTCTTATTCAACTCGATACTGCAGCACAGTTTTTTTTTTGAATAATTTAAAGTTTTATTCACTTTTGGATGTGGGTGTGAGTCTTCATTTTATTCACACTCATACCCAAATAAAAGTAATCAACTGATTTATTTTTTATTCTTCGTGATGGATGGATTTGTCATTGAAAAGAATAGTCAGTATTGAATTTCTCTCGTTTTGGACAGATTTTGTAGATTTTTTGCTTAAAACTTTTTAAACAGAAATTGGATCTAATGTTCTAGTCTTTTGTAATTGGTATAAAGATACTACCATTTCCAGTTTATTTGATATTTGTTGTATATTGTGAACCATTTCTCGACGTATGATTTTTACTGAAGGACTGACATCCGTCAATGAATCACAAAGTATCATTAATTTCAATGTTTCATTATCAATTCGGTTGTAGTAATAATCATCGGGTGCTAATCCATTCATTAGAATTTTGTCAATTGATTGGTTTAATGCAAGTACTTTCTAAAATATGAAAGAGAAAGAATAACACGGCACAGTTACATTCTTTTTCAAGCCTTATTACATAGAACGGCAAGTTAATTAAATGATTTTCCCTTTTCAAAACTCTATGAAATCAACAAACAGATCAATCTCAGTTGAATCCATGAAATTCTTTATGACCTGTAAATACAAATACTCAAACGATACAACCTAGGTATACTATTTTGTTAATATTAATGCAAGTAAATGTCAACTTAACGGTTATACTTCCTTGTGAATAATCGTACAAGATAGTAAAGAATTGAATCAGTTGCCATAGCCAAAGCGTAGAAAATTCACTATAAACGTTTTTCTTCATCCATCATCTCAAATGACTGATGAGAAAACTTTTATTTTAATGAAAGAATATCAATTTGCAGAGTTGTCTCTGGAGTATTCAGCTTATAAGTTTTTTTCTTTTATTTCACATATGCAAAGCGTGATGTATTAACAATAATCATAGTTATTGTTATGTTTGATCTCAATTCTTTTATACTATTGTTTGTCTACTGATGATGAATCATCATCACTTACATATGTGATCTATACATATACATGTGTGTTCTTTTCATCTCTATTGTTATCTATTTTGTATTACACAATTGGTAATACGTGACACAAAGGAATACACAACATTCAAATCTATTCCACTCAGTATATATTCATATTTGGTAAAGACGTCATTGCATGATTGTGTTGAATCTAATGTGCTAAATATTGAAGGGAAAATATCGAACTTACGTCGTTGATCTCTTGAAGTTTTTTAAGGGCACTCATATCATTCGGATGTTGCAAAGATGATGAAAGTTGGGACTCAATTAAATGTGACACTCGTCGATGACATGATGATGAGTCATTGGACGATGGAAATGAGCTTGTTGTAGTTGATAATCTAGTATTCTGGTTCTGTGCAAGATGAAGAGGGGATGATGTATCATTTGCATTTTCAAGAAGTTGCTTTTCTTGTAGTTCAGGCATCTCGGAAGAGGTTACTCTTGCTAGAGAAGAACGATTGTCATTGTTGGAAGAATTTTTGTCTGGTTCTCTAAACGAAGTTGAACGGTTATTTTTCGCATTTTCAATCGGATATGTAAATAGACTATTGCGATGAATATTTCGACGATAAGAACAACCAATCTTATGACTGACACTTTCTGGTAGTAGGTTGTTTGATAGAATATTGGATGAATCATTTTCTATGCCATGTAGTTTACTGTTATATTCAGTGAATGTTTGAAAATCTGAATAGGCATCACATAAATGATGCATGACCATATCAGGATTCTCATTATAGATCACATTGACTTTTTGTTTCAGATGAAATTGATCAGGAAGATTTTCATAGTAATATTCGTTGACAATCAAGCAAATCTGATCAATACAGTAATATTTTAATAATTGATTGATTACTTTTACATCTGTCGCATAGAGACCCGAGATGATTGTTGAATAAGTATCTTGCATTGATATCGAACCTCCAAGTTGTCGAGAAAATAATTCAAGGAAATCAATACAATCAGTAGCCGTAGAGAAAATATATAATCGATTAGCTTCAATCATCTTTTTAGCAAAAGTGAAGTTACGTTCATCGACGAAAAGATCAAGCCAGATGATCTTGTCACGTAGTACACGATAGGGGATGAACCGAGGTAATTCTATCTTATTTTGATCGGTTTCATATTGTTGGACGGATTGACATTTGCGTAAAGCTGGAATGGGTTTTGATGACGTATGTGATTCTTTCATAGATATGTATTTTTTCGACTCAGTCATTTTGTGTCCTTCGTCGATTATTACTACAATAGTGCAAACTAGTTATATTGCTTCTTTCCACGAATGGATGGGAACCTACAAAGCTGCCGCCTGATAAGAAGAAAGGTTTTTAACTGCTATCTTTTTTTTTTATCATACTGTAAAAATAATCATCAAAGCACAGGTATAGATAGATACAAAATGGATATCTTTATTCGAGATTGTCTAGTTAAGATTTTAGAAAAGATACTAATAGGCATTGTCTGAACATTGAAAAATGGTCAAAATTGATGATGCCATAAATAGAAATATTCCTCTATTTAGTGCCGTATAGAAAAAGCAATGTGACAGCTAAAACATATGAATGGTATAGCCATCAATAGAAGCCACTATTTCATTAGATAATTGAGCAAAAAAATAAACTAAATTTCTTTAATGACATATTTATAAGAGACATGTCGTTTGTCATCGCGATTCTATCGTCGGGATGTGGGTGTGGGTGTGGGTGTGTACTACGGGTAGAATGAAGGCCTCACCCTCATCCACAAATATGGCCATCCACTACCCTGTTATAATCACAAAACTGAATTTAAATCATGCATACGACTTGAACATTAAAGCCAAAAAATAGTGGGAAACAATATTTTTTTCGCTTTACATACAAAAATACTTTCTTATATTATTACTCGAGATAAAATTCTTCTATCAACTGCTGATATTGTAATGTCGTACACCACGAATGATTGCCTTTTTTTTACACACTCATAGCACTTTCTAAGCATGTGTATGTGAATTGAAAAGAAGTCTTTATTTACTGAAGAGAAATCTTAGATGTGAGACAAATATTAGAGCACAATATGAAGAGATTTTTTCTCGTCTTGATAAGCACAAAGGAGGGAAGTCGTTAAGCACATAAATAAGCTATGTACGTATAGAATGAGATTTTTTGCTATCGCAAATGGTGATATTTGACGTCTGCACATTAAAGTTACCCTAATCCAGCTTTAACGACTTACTTACAGAGCATGAAGAGATCGATTTTCTTTAATCATTGTTAGAAGCCATTTTGGCTTATATCTTAAACAAGTTCGTTATAAGCAACAAAATTGTGTGGGTATAGACATTCCAGTGGATAATGATTTCATTTTTCTAAACAATCTAATATAAATAAAATCGTTGTGTAGATTAATTTTCAAATCGATTTTCGCCGCATTTTTTTTTGACATGATTGCACTGTTTTCTTTGTCATAGTGGTTAACTATAACAAGAGTCGTATGGTTTCTCTATTTACTCATAATATAATACATTTTCTTTTAATTTGAGGGTGTGGGTGTGTGAATATCAGCCACACCACAACCTGGATTAAAATAATTCATCTAATTCGTAAGTTTTCTACTAATCATCTGACTCGAATAGAAGACATGAAAAATTAATACTTCATATCATTTGTATAATAGAATGATTAAGTTTTTTAGCAGAACGCAATGATTAATGAACAAACTCATCACGAATGATTGTCTCTTTTCTTCAATTGTTTATGGATGTGGGTGTCAGCCTAAAGGAATCCCACACCCAAAACATCGCACTCTTGCTTGACATCATTCGCTTTTAGTTATTTTCTCTTCCTTTGCTCATCAATGAGAAGCTAGCGCAACACGATGAGTTACCGCCACGACGAGCTGAAAAATTGCATTCGTCGAAAATTCACTAATCAGAAAACTAGAATGTACTCAACATCATCTCGGAGAACAGAAACATGGTCATGACTCCACTTAGATACGGTAAAAAATATACACACAAGATACGAAAAGTCTTTAGACTCATGAAAAATCTAGCAGCAGTACTGCGGATTAGAGACGATATCTTTCTATGAGTATCCGATCAGCTAAATAAAGAATATCTCCCAGTTGTGGAAATGGGTGAAATAAATTTTTGATTAAAAAAAGATCTAAAACACAAGTCTAATTCATCTTCGATTTATTTTAAACTGTTCTACGCATGCATGTCTGCATCAGTATAAACGAAATTATATTGAATAAAGATCACGAAAAAAACTTTTCTTTGATTGGCACATCATAACCTATATCTCTTCACAATGTTATAATAGTAGTTAAGCCAAATATGTGGAATATGATCCCGTTCCTGAATGGCACTAGAACCGAGACCCAAGTCATTGCTGTCACACAAGTCTAACTTTACTATACTTGAAAGTATATAATCAAAATAATTATCTTGCAGTAGGGGGTGGCGACTTCCTGTTAATCTATTTGACAGTGCAGGTATGGGTGTAATTCTTCTCTTAACCCACACCCTCACTACGAGTACTTATTAATAAATCGTGATGAGCTGTAGCAAGCAAAAGTACAAATTCTGCACTCTTTATTCATTATGTAGAAACCGGTTCCTTCCGCACCATAGAGAAATCACTCTTATGGTCAGTTATGTGAAATCACATGAGTCAGATTGTCTATTTGGTTTGTACTAATGGCTGTTCGTCAATTTATAGAAAAATGCAGTTTCGAGCTGTTTGTCAGAACAGAGTATACGGTCTAACTTTCGTTATCTAAAATAATTAGTGAAATCGGTGGTTGTTTCACAGAATTTTTCCATGTGTATACAGGAGATTTAAATGTTACTGCACCCCCAATGATGTGAGATATTCCACCATATTTTAAGTAGATGTACTTTGTTTACCACTCAAAGAGAGTTGTTGTTTTCTTTCCTGCGAAAAAAAAAACTATCAAATACTGCAAGGAATAATATAACCCAGTACTCGAAGTACAACAAACTTCTATGAGTCCCAAAACACATAATCATTGCATAAGTAGGTAACCAATTTTGTAATTTCTTTCGTACAATATTGCAATTTGTATGAGGAAGAGTGCATGGGAATAGGGAGAGAGCCACAAGAACAGGATGGTGAAAGTCCTTTGAAAAACGCTTTAAACAGAGCATATATAGAGATAATCGTATTAGTCTCAATAGCTGCATTCGTCACAAATATCTATTAACTCAAAGAACGTTATTTTGCTAATGTTGATGATGAAAGTCAGCTCGACTTTTGGGAACCTATTAAAAAAGTAGTTTGTTTGTGCCATTATCAAGGAGTATAATTTTCATCTTTTCTCTAAATTCTAACCGTAAAATTCTATCTTTTGCTATTTGTTGATAAATAATTACATCATGCTTCTTTGCGACAAAAGATCTGACAATCAATCAACATTAAGCAGCAATACGGTTGAAACTGCTAAATTTGACTGAATAAAATCAAGTCAACTGTTCTTGACTATCCGGCTTGACATGTATTTGTTAATTGTTGCAACATCGACATCCTTTACAAAGGATACATTCTCAAGCATAGGTTTATCAGCTTCATTTTTTTTTTCTAGGAATAGAAATCAAATTTCAACCTAAGATTCTCAGAAACCCCAAACTATATACCGAAATAGTGAGAAACAGAAACTATGTACTGTATTCTTAAACTTGGAAATTCTAACGTGGCTTCTGTCTCTTAGGAACCTGTTTTTGACTCTCGATTCCTGAAGGCAGGAACCGCTTTTGAATTTCCGTGCCCAAAAAACTCAATAACATATCATGAATTGTTTATGAGCTTATTTTCGAAAAGACTCAAATGCTTGAGATTTCGATTATAATTAACAATTGCATTAGCTAAGATTTGTAGTCTTCATCAATAATAGAATTGCCATAAAGATCAAGAGATTGAAGATGAGTATACATGACAAGAGATGCAGCGAGAATCTGAACACCAATATCACGCATAAAACATCTTGGAAGTTCTATAGATTTCAATGATGTGTTGTTGGGAAATGCTGAGACTACAAATAGCATATCTTGTGGTGTGGTATACTCCTCGAATAAATGGAGATCAATACATTCTTGATTTACAATTCGATTTCGAATCCTAATTCCAATTGTTTGATTTTGAATGTTGTGTGCTGGTCGATTCCTTTGGGGAAGAGTTAAAACACCGTTAATATTTTCTTGCCGGCAGTTGAAGTAATCATTGTGAGCCACTTCTAAACTGGTTTTTTGTTAATTTTTAATATTTTTATGTTGGCGTTGATCTTTTAATAAGAGATGTGTACATATATCCAAATGATTTTGCAATTTTTCACGTGGTCCAGTCCACGAACAACTGTTCTCATTCACTTGACACGTAACGATTTTTTTTGTACATATCTTGTCAATGTGATCTTGAAAATTACCTCGTTGTATATTTGATTGTTGACATAATTTACATTTAACAATGATTCGATCGAGCATTGAAATAAAATTCAAAAGAGTGATCGCAGTAGAACTATTCATTGATACCATTTTTCGACATGTAGGACAAGTTAATTTATCAGTTTGAACCCATTTTTCTAAGCATGAACGACAAAATTAATGATGACATTGAGTTTATACCACAGGATCAATCATTGCTTCATCACATATTGAACATTTTAAATTAATATCAATTGATTCTTCATTTTCATAATCATAATCAACATTTCGAGACATATGTTGTAATTCGAATTATCACATGTAGTTGACTTGAGAAATCTATTTATTTATTAAATAATGTTCGAGATTGAATTGATAAAAGAAGTCAGTTTCTTCTATATAACAAGATGAATAACATATATTGTCTCTATGACGCATAACTTAAATAAGGTTTGTTTCCCATTTGATAACTTCTAACGGGTGCGCCAAGATAAATGGACATTTCAGTATTTTGCAAGTATCTCTCTCAAATTATGACATATATACTTGAGTTTTTTTTCAAAAAATAGCCCATGAAATTCTCTACAAAACCCTTATGAAAAGAGTTCTTCCAACGAATAACTATGCGGTTATATCCGCTCAACACTACAATGCTCTAAAATGGCTCACTTTCAAATCCACATTTTTATCAAATTAATGATTTTGTTTCTTCTAGCAAAACAGATACGAAACCCTATTCTAATGCAAGCTCCCTGTCTTTTCAAGTATAC